TGTTGTTTTTATGCTCTTTTCTAGCTTCTAGAGTTTTCTAAGGTGTTTTGAGGTTTCATAGTATTTTGAATACACTTCAGGGTGTTGTTATGCAGTTGTTAGGTTGTTGCTAGGTGGCTTATTTTGGGTGTTTTTGAGTTTGTCACGTTGCATCTGTTCTATATTTAGTCAAGTGCTCTGTGTGTTGTTTTTATGGTGTATTCTGGTTTCTAGAATATGTTGAGGTGTTTTTTAAGGTGTTGCTAAGGTTGCATAGCATATTGAATTTATTTCAGGATGTTGTTATGCAGTTGCTAGGGTGTTGCCTGGTCGTTATTTTGGGTGTTTTTAAGAATGTGTCGCATTTCTTTTGTTATGTTTTTATTAAAAGGTGTCGCTAATTTGTTCTGAGGTTGCATAGTACTTTGAATATATTTCAGGGTGTTGTTATGCAGTTGCTAGGGTGTTGCTAGGTGATTATTCTGGGTGATTTTCAGACATTTATCACATTTCCTTTGTTATTTTTTTTTTAAATCTACTGTATTGCTAATATGTTTTGAGGTTACATAGTACTGTGAATACATTTCAGGGTGTTGTTATACAGTTGCTAGGGTGTTGCTAGGTGGTTATTTTGGGTGATTTAAGGCATTTGTCACATTGCATTTGTTATATTGTAAATACAGTATTCTGGATTTTCTAAGGTGTTGCTGAGATGTTTTGAGGTTGCATAGTATTTCGAATACATTTCTAAGTGTTGTAATGCAGTTGCTAGGGTGTTGCTAGGTGATTATTTTGGGTGTTTTTCAGACATTTATCACATTTCCTTAGTTATTTTTTTATTAAACTCTACGGTGTTGCTAATATTTTTTGAGGTTACATAGTACTGTAAATACAATTCAGGGTGTTGTTATACAGTTGCGAGGTTGTTGCTAGGTGGTGTTCTGGGTGTTTTTGTGCATTTGTCGCATTGCATTTGTTATATTGTTATTAAAGTGTTCTGTGTGTTGCTTTTATGGTGTTTTCTAGCTCCTAGAGTTTTCTAAGGTGTTTTGAGGTTGCATAGTGTTTTGAATACACTCCAGGATGTTGTTATACAGTTGCTAGGGTGTTGCTAGGTGGTGTTCTGCATGTTTTTTTTTTTTTTTTTAGAATTTGTCACATTGCATGTGTTACATTGTTAGCAGAGTGCTCTGTGTGTTGTTTTAGGGTGTGTTCTGGTTGTTAGATTATTTGCGGTTTTTTCTAAGGTGTTGCCAATATGTTCTGAGGTTGGACAGTATTATGAATACACTTCAGGGTGTTGTTATGCAGTTGCTAGGGTGTTGCTAGGTGTTTTTTCTGGGCATTGTAAGGTATTTGTCACATTGTGTTTGTTATATTGTTAGTAGAGTGCTCTGTGAGTTGTTTTATGGTGTATTACGGTTGCTAGAGTATGTTGGGTGTTTTCTAAGGTGTTGCTATGCTGTTGCTAAGGTGGTAGTGCATTGCTAGGTAGTTTGTTCTGTCTATTTCTCAGAGTGTTGCTGTATGAAACAGTTATCAGGATGTATATGAGATATTTGCGCAGGCGTACCACTCGATTATGTTTCTCTTTTAGATTTAGAAAATATACAGATCTGATTACTCTGTTTAATGATTTCACATCTCTGCACAACAAATCCAGTCCTGCCCAGCCTCTGATTTCACTTTGTCTTTTAATCAAACCCAAACTTGATCACGTGACCTCAGTAATCCCCACCCACAGGTCGCTGTAGGACAAACTGGAAGGAATGCTGAGTTTCAGGACACACACTAATAACAAATTGGCCTTCGTTTATAAGATCCTCTCCTTGGATCCTTTCGTCAGACGATCTACAATGTGTAACACGTGTGAGTGATTTACTAATCAGCAATCCTGTTTTCACTTTGCTAGAACAGTGTGTTTCGTCTTCGTCCGAGACCCTGACGACTCTGTCCAGCAATATTTAATGCAGGATTCCCACACTGTCAGATATTGAATTGGCTGGATGTTGCTCTTTTGTTCTGTGAAACATCCTCATGTGCTTTGAGTCGGTGCACTCTCTGAGCTGGTTATTTTAAATGATTCACAAATTGGTTCTTAATTAGTTCTTAAAGGCATTTGAAGTCCTAATCAAGTCTTTGCAAATGCCTGAGAGTGTCATAGACATTCAGAGGTGTGAAAACTAGTTTAAAAGCACTGTCAGCAAGCGGCTGCAATGTGCATTCATTCATTTACTTTTCAGTTTAGTCCCTTTATTCACCACAGCAGAATGAACCGCCAACTTATCCAGCATATGCTTTACGCAGCAGATTCCCTTCCAGCTGCAACCCATCACTGGGAAACACCCAAACACTCTCATTCACACACATCTACTATTAACAATGTAGTTAATTCTCCTTTAGCGCATGTGTTTGGACTGTGGGGGAAACCGGAGCACCCGGAGAAAACCCACTCGCACACAGGGAGAACATGCAAACACAGAAGCGCCAACTGACCCAGCTGAGGCTTGAACCAGCGACCTTCTTGCTGTGAGGCAATCGTGCTAACCACTGCGCCACCGTGACGCCACAGCAATATACAATTAAAGACAAAAGCATTCATGAAATGACAGAAATTCTTTTAGTTTAAGTGAGAATCTTGCAAAATATCTAGTAAAATATTATGTACTGTAATTATGGCAAGACAAAATGAATGAGTAATTATAAATGAGTTATTAAAGCTATTATTTTTAGATGTGCTTAAAACTGCATTTGGGAAGAATTGAAATGTGTGTATTGAAAATTAAAAATATATACCCTCACCGGCCACTTTATTAGGTACACCTGTCCAACTGCTTATTGATGCAAATTTCTAATCAGCCAATCACATGGCAGCAGCTCAATGCATTTAGGCATGTACACATGGTCAAGGCGATCTGCTGCAGTTCATAGTGTGCAACAGAATGGGGGAGAAAGGGGATTTAAGTGACTTTGAATGTGGCATGGTTGTTGGTGCCAGACGGGCTGCTCTGAGTATTTCAGAAACTGCGGATCTACTGGTATTTTCACGCACAACCATCTCTAGGGTTTACAGAGAATGCTCCAGAGGAAGTATCCAGTGAGCGGCAGTTCTGTGGGCGCAAATGCCTTGTTGATGCCAGAGGTCAGAGGAGAATGGCCAGACTGGTTCCAGCTGATAGAAAGGCAACAGTAACTCAAATAAGCACTCGCTACAACCGAGGTCTGCAGAAGAGCATCTCTGAACACACAACACGTCCAACCTTGAGGCGGATGGGCTACAGCAGCAGAAGAGCACACCGGGTGCCGCTCCTGTCAGCTAAGAACAGGAAACTGAGGCTACAATTCACACAGACTCACCAAAACTGGACAATAGAAGATTGGAGAAACGTTGCTGCTCTGATGAGTCTCCATTTCTGCTCACACATTCAGATGCTCGGCTCACAATTTGGCCTCAACAACATGAAAGCATGGATCATCCTGCCTTGTATCAGCGGTTCAGGCTGCTGGTGGTGGTGTAATGGTGTGCGACGCCACAGCCTACCTGAGTATTGTTGCTCCACTGAAAGAAATTATTCAAAGATGATTCCTTGAATTTACTCATTTTTTTACGTTAAGTAAAATTATTTGGGCTGAATTTAAACAAACAAATTAAGTTGAACATTATTAAATTTTATTTGTTTGCTTAAATTCAACACAAATAAATTGTGTGCAACAGTTCTGCATGCAACACATGTCCATCCCTTTATGAGCACAGTGTCTCCATCTTCTGATGGCTACTTCCAGCAGGATAACACACCATGTCATAAAGCTCAATCATCTCAGACTGCTTTCTTAAACATGACGATGAGTTCACTGTACTCAAATGGCCTCCACAGTCACCAGAGCTCAATCCAATAGAGCAGCTTTTGGATGTGGTGTAACGGGAGATTGGCATCATGGATGTGCAGCCGACAAATCTACAGCAGCTGTGTGATGCTATCATGTCAATATGGAGCAAAATCTCTGAGGAATATTTCCAGTGTCTTGTTGAATCTCTGCCACGAAGGATTAAGGCAGTTCTGAAGGCGAAGGAGGGTCCAACCTGTTACTAGTAAGGTGTACCTAATAAAGTGGCCGGTGAGGGTATATATTGCAGCATTTATGGAATTCATATATATTTTAGTTTAACCTTTAGCATTTGTGCACTCTAAAAAAATGCTGGGGTGTCTTATCCCAACACTGGGTCAGAAATGAACGAGGTATAGCATCTGAGTTGACTATATTACTTAATTCTCATTTTGATTTAATTAAATGTTTTTGTTGTTTTGTTGCTCAAACTGTCATGAAAAAGTAATAATTTCTTTTTAACCGATTGTGTGTTCTATATTTAATATCTGACATTTACTCAATTATTCCTTCCTTTTATGTGATGTTATTTACAGCCAAAAGCATGACCCGGGCATGTCCTCCACACGCAGGCATTAGTGCGCTAATATTTATGTTTCTATATGGGAATGTGTCACAGCTGATCTTCACACAAAGCAGACCGCCAGAGGGGTGCTTTCTCCAGGGGCTGGTGGGCGGAGGGCAGTGGCAGTGGGTTTGGCTGAAATCTGAGGCGGGTTTAAAAGCTGTCGCGCTCAGGCACAGACACACACTTGGAGATCAGCGCCGCGCTCCACACGCAAATGCATCATTACTGTTTCTTTGAGGTTTTTAAGATAAAAACCATATCAAATCTTCAGGAATAACATGTAGGCCTTCCTGCAAAAAATGGATTTGAGTTATGATTCAACGCTAGTGCGACTTACAGCTGTTTTGCCTTCGTAAACTTCTGAGCCGCGCAACAGGACTCCGGCGTTCCCACAGATTTTACGCACGCGTATTTTCAGTCATAACTGCTTTAACCATGCACGATTGATTTAGGATTCAACACTAGTGCGATTTAAAGCTTTTTTTTTTGCCAGTGTATAACCTTTGGAGCCGCGCAACAGGACTCTGGCGTTCCCATCTTTACGCGCGCGTATTTCCATCAATCAAGCTGCTTTAATTCATTGCCAACCTCAAAATGGAGACGCACAGTAACACGTCGCACCCCCCTAACACCTCTGACCCCTTCGGACGCGATGAGGAAGTGGCTAAAATCGAGATCGCGGTGCTCAGCGTGACCTTCGCGGTGGCGGTGATCGGGAACTACAGCGTTCTGGTGGCGATCCACAACACGAAGAAGAAGACCTCGCGCATGCACCTGTTCATCAAACACCTGAGCCTCGCAGACCTGGTGGTGGCCTTCTTCCAGGTGCTCCCGCAGCTCTGCTGGGAGATCACCTTCCGCTTCTACGGGCCGGACTTTCTGTGCAGGATCGTCAAACACCTCCAGGTGATGGGCATGTTCGCGTCCACCTATATGATGGTGATGATGACTCTGGACCGCTACATCGCCATCTGCCACCCGCTGAAGACCCTCCAGCAGTCCACCCGCAGGTCGCAGGTGATGATCGGCGGCACTTGGGTGTGCAGTTTAGTCCTCAGCAGCCCGCAGTACTTCATCTTCTCGCTCAGCGAGATCCAGAACGGCTCGGAGGTGTTCGATTGCTGGGCGCACTTCATCCAGCCGTGGGGCGTGCGCGCGTACATCACCTGGATCACCGCGGGGATCTTCCTCGTGCCCGTGCTGATTCTGATGACCTGCTATGGCTTCATCTGCCACAGCATCAGGATGAGCATCAGGTATAAGAGCAAGCGGACGCAGGTGTTCGGGAAGCAGTCGGTGAGCTCGGTCTCCAGCATCTCCAGGGCGAAGCTGCGCACCGTCAAGATGACCTTCGTGATCGTGCTCGCCTATGTCATCTGCTGGGCGCCCTTCTTCACCGTGCAGATGTGGTCGGTGTGGGACCAGAGCTTCAACTGGGACGGTGAGACCTAAAGCTTTACTTTTCATATCGCTGTGCGGTTTCATAACTAAATGTGCGCGTGGGGATGTCTTGCGCACTTTTTGGTTAAGTTTTAATTAGCTTTACCCTTTCATTATTGTTTTTAAAATTAATTTTAAAGTACATTTAACATTTATTTGTCCCAACAGTTTTTGTATTATTACATTGAATTTACATTATATATATATATATATATATATATATATATATATATATATATATATATATATATATATATATATATATATATATATCATTATATCTATGACTATATATCATTATATATATGACGTATATATAACGTTGTTGTTTTTAATTAATTTTTTTGCATTTTAATATGTGTTTTACCCAGTGTTGTATTTTGTTTTATTTAATTTAAATGACATTTTTAATATATATTTGGCCCAAAATAGTTGTTTTAAATTCAATTTGATTTACATTTTAATATATATATTTTACCCAACATTGTTTATCAATCAATGTATTCTACATTTTAATATATATTTTATATATATATTTGACTCAACGTTGTTTATTAATCAATGTATTTTACATTTTAAAATATATTATATATATTTGACTCAACGTTGTTGTTTTTTAATTAAGTTTAATTTAAATTTTAATATATATTTGACCCAACGTTGTTGTTTTTTAATAAATTTAATTTACATTGTATTATATATTTGATCCAGTGTTGTGGTATGTTTTAAAATTAAATTTTAATGATATTGTTTATATGTATTTGACCTAACGTTGCTGTTTTATTTTTTTATAATTTACATTTTAATATATATTCGACCCAGTGCTGTGTTATTTTTTAAATCCAATTTTAATGACATTTTTAATGAATATATTTGACCCAACTTTGTTGTTTTTTAATAAATTTTAATTTACATTTTATTATATATTTGACCCAGTGCTGTGGTATTTTTTAAAATAAAATTTTAATGACATTTTAATATATATTTGACCCAACTTTGTTGTTTAAAAATTTTTTTTTTACATTTTAATATAGATTTGACCCAACTTTGTTGCTTTTTAATAAATTTTTTTTACATTTTATTATATATTTGACCCAATGTTGTTTTTTTTAAGTAAATTTAATTTACATTTTAATATTTGACTCAGTGTTGTGTTATTTGTTTTTATTTAATTTTAATTACATTTTTAAAATAAATTTGACCCAATGTTGTTGTTTTTTAACATTTTAAATAGATTTTTAACCCTGTACACTGGGTAATTTTTAAAGGAAATTCAAATGACATTTGAACATATATTTGACCAACATTGGGTTATTTTTTATTAAGTATAAATGACAATACAACTCAGCATTTTTGTGTAACATAATTATTTAACCAACATTATTTCATATAAGTAATAATTTAAGTATTCAATATGCATTATGACTCTCTATAATGTTTCATAATATTGCATAATTAAGAAAAAATAGCACAACTTATTACTTAACGGATATAATAACGTGACTAATCAATTATTCTTATACTTTATTTATGCATACAGATGTGTTTCATTTGTTCATTCCACATCTATATTTTAAGTGTTAAATATTCACCATCATGACACTTTATTAATATAACTAAGTGTTAAATATGCACAATAAGGCCACTTCATATTTAAAAAAATTTAATTAATTAACAAATAAATATGTTGTTTAATGAGTGTTAAATATGTTTTGTATTCTATAATAAATGTTTATGTATAATATAATACATATATGTTTTGTATTGTACAATAAAATGTTTTGTGTTATATAATGCATATGTTTTGTATTATATACATTAACATGTTTTGTATAATACATAATTCTACATATGTTTTGTCTCATATAATGCATATATGTTTTGTATTATTTAATAAAATGGCTGCATATGCAGTAGCAGCGTATTTTAAAGTCACAGTAAATATGTTTCGTTTTAAATCGCTCAGATGGCAGCTAATGGAAAGAAGTGCTAATGTGTTAAATATAGTGTGTCTGATATGATTATGAAGATGATTTGAGGAATGAAGTCATGAGGCCAGAATAGTGTGTCGAAGCAGAACAGCTGCGTAGCGTTTATGATCTGTAAAGCTCACGTTCAGATTCCACATTTACATTCCCTTAAGCGTGTTTGTTTAACCCAATTACACCTCATTTCCAACCTAAAAATGACAGACATTTATTATTAGTTCAGGGTGTTTAGGGTTTTTGTTGTTGTTGTTTTTTTCAATCAAACCTGGCAACACAGTAGGCAATTCCATATGCTTTAAAATGTCTAAAGACGAATCGAATAGAACAGAACAGAACAGAACAGAACTGAATAGAACTGAACTGAACAGAACTGAACAGAACAGAACAGAACTGAACTGAACAGAACAGAACAGAATAGAACTGAACAGAACAGAACAGAACAGAACAGAACTGAACTGAACAGAACAGAATAGAACTGAACAGAACTGAACTGAACAGAACAGAACTGAACTGAACAGAACTGAACTGAACAGAACAGAATAGAACTGAACAGAACAGAACAGAACTGAACAGAACAGAATAGAACTGAACAGAACTGAACTGAACAGAACTGAACTGAACAGAACAGAACAGAATAGAACTGAACAGAACAGAATAGAACTGAACAGAACAGAACAGAACAGAACAGAACTGAACAGAACTGAACAGAACAGAACAGAATAGAACTGAACAGAACTGAACAGAACAGAACTGAACAGAACTGAACTGAACAGAACAGAACTGAACTGAACAGAACAGAACTGAACAGAACAGAATAGAAAATTATTTATTGCAAAAAAATTATTTAGGAATTTTAATGCTATAAATAAATCTAAAGACGTTTTGATCCAGTTGAATTCTTTGTATGCAATATATGGTTCCGGTCCTGGATGCTGATTGGCCAACACAGAGAATGTAGATGAGATTCTGATCTTACGGCAATCCGCTTGTTAAGTGGTGACGTGTTGGTGACGTATGTAATACTGTTTCCGGGTCCAAGCCGCCATTCACTTAAGTAGAGAAATCATTCGTTTATGATCACGTTTTTATTCCTATCACACATTAAAGTGAATTTTATATAAAGTCATAGTGTACACAACAATCTCTGGGCTTGCTGCATAACAAATACCAAAAATTTAACAATTTATAAAACAAGGAATCACTTTCTGGCCATCGTATATTAGGCATGGACATATATATACTGCGATCGTGACTTTCAAAAGTATAAAATCGCTTTGTAAACGTTTACTATTACCATTTCATGAATCTCCCCATTCAGTTGAATAGAGCGCTTGCACCCGGAAGCCGCTTCGTGTGACGTCACACTTAACAAGCGGATTCGTAACTTTTTGCTTTAGCGGCTAATTCGTATGAATTCGTACAAACTAATTAGAACAATTTAGTACGATTTGCTCATCCCCCAATGACGTTTGGGGTTAGGGGTGGGGCTGGGTGCCACGCCTCCTTTTTAAAATCATACAATTTTGTACGACTGAACTCGTTCGAATTCGTACAAGTTAGCCAGTAAACTGGCAAAATGTAAAATACTTACGTTTTCTCATGAGATCAGGCTGGTTCTAACTGATGAGATGACAAGCTGTATGTAACTGATTCTGTAGCAGTTGCCATTGAGATGCTCCTTAGCAAAGAATAAAAATAAATTTAAAGTCGGGTATTGTTTTTTTATTTAATTTTAATTACACACACACACATATATATATATATATATTATATATATTTTCTTAAAAGAAATTCGAATGACATTTGAACATATATTTGACTAACATTGGGTTATTTTTTATTAAATATAAATGACAATACAACTCAGCATATTTGTGTTAACACAATAAAGAATAATAGACACATATTAGACAAATAACATAGTAACTTACTGTAAAAACTGTAGTGTTTTTGAACCATACTATAGTAAAATATTAAAGTAATTCTTAATATGCAATATATGGTTCCGGTCCTGGATGCTGATTGGCCAACACAGAGAATGTAGACTGAGATTCTGATTGGATGATGCCTTTTCTATCTGATTAGATGACAAGCTGTATGTAACTAATTCTGTATCAGCTGCCATTGAGATGCTCCTCAGCAAAGAATAAAGATAATTGCAAGGTCACGTTTTTTATTTAATTTAATTTAATTACATCTTTTATATAAATTTGACCCAATGTTGTTGTTTTTTTTTAATTGAACTTAAATGACACTTTTAATAGATACTTGACCCTGTACACTGGATAATTTTTAAAGGAAATTCGAATGACATTTAAACATATATTTGACTAACATTGGGCTATTTTTTGTTAAATATATATGACAGTACAACTCAGCATTTTTGTGTAACATAAAAAAGAATAATAAACACATATTAGACAAATAATATAGTAACTTACAGTAAATACTGTAGTGTTTCAACCATATTATAGTAATTCTTTATATGATATATATGATTCCAGTCCTGGATGCGGATTGGCCAACACAGAGAATGTAGATGAGATTCTGATTGGATGATGCCTTTTCTATCTGATTAGATGACAAGCTGTATGTAACTAATTCTGTATCAGCTGCCATTGAGATGCTCCTTAGCAAAGAATAAAGATAATTTTAAAGCCAGGTATTTTTATTTTGGCAAAAATAAGTAGGAATAAAAAGCAAAAATGGCTGAAAGCATGATTAAATATCAACACATTTATTTTAGAGAAAATAAGTCACTAACAAAACTCCCTAAACCAAAAAAAAAGAGACAGTTTCTCATGCATCAGTCTGCAGTCTTCATAAACAAGCTAATGAAATAAACTCAGATCAATCGTCCATGTTGATTTGACGAGTGATTTTGTGTTGCAGTGGAATAACACATTTATAACATTCAAGCTCATCCAGGCTCATTTTTGTACCTGCAGTTAAAGTGTAGAATAGGAGATCAAATGATAGAACAAGAAAAACTAAAATTAAAGCACTAAAGGTGCATTTTAGAAACATTTGGCCCCATGGCTGGAACTGCGTAGGGCCCCAAAATCACTAAATCTGCCCCTGATAATATGCATAGCTGAGGACTTCTTATATTAAAGCTTTAAAATCCCCATTAAAACCAAAAGTCTAATATAATCAACTCTGGATATTTTGATGTTTTTCACAACATAAAAATGTCTGAATTTGATTTTTTTATTTACGTGTGTCAATTTGGGATTTAACTCTGTTGAATGTGGAAAAGTTTAATGTGTGCAGGACTGACGCTGACAAAACTCAAGCGAAAAATCTACAGCATCTACCATTTACCACTGATGGCAAATTTTCTTGTTTTTAATTTAATTTGATTTACATATATATATATACATACAGTTAAAGTCAAAATTATTAAACCCCCTTTGAATTTATTTTTCTTCTTTAAATATTTCCCAAATGATGTTTAACAGATTCAGGAAATGTTCACAGTGTGTCTGATAATATTTTTTCTTCTGGGGAAAGCCTTATTTGTTTTATTTCGGCTAGAATAAAAGCAGTTTTACATTTTTTAAACACCATTTTAAGGACAATATTATTAGCCCCTTTAAGCAATTTTTTTTTAGATAGTCTACAGAACAAACCATCGTTATACAATAACTTGCCTAATTACCCTAATCTGCCTAGTTAACCTAATTACCCTAGTGAAGCCTTTAAATGTCTCTTTAAGCTGTATAGAAGTGTCTTGAAGAATATCTAGTCTAATATTATTTACTGTCATCATGACAAAGAGAAAATAAATCAGTTATTAGAGATGAGTTATAAACACTATTATGATTAGAAATGTGCTGAAGAAATCTGCTCTCCGTTAAACAGAAATTGGGGAAAAATAAACAAGCGGGCTAATAATTCTGACTTCCACTGTATGTATATATATATGTGTGTGTGTGTGTGTGTGTGTGTGTGTGTGTGTGTGTATATATGACCCAATGTTGTTGTTTTTTAATTAAATTAAATTTAAATTTTTAATATGTTTAACCCAATGGTGTGTTGTTATTTTTTTTTTTTAATTTTAATGACATTTTTAATATATATTTGACCCAACATTGTTGTTTTAAATTCAATGTAATTTACATTTATATATTTATATTTAACCCAACGTTGGTTATTAATTAAATTTATTTAACATTTTAATATATATTATATATATTTGACCCAACATTGTTATTTTTTATTAAATTTAATTTACATTTTAATATATATTTGACTTCTGTAAATAAATATTAAATATGTAAATATATATAATATATTCTGTTAGTGAGGCCAGCAGGGGGCGCTCAACCTGTGGTCTGCATGAGTCCTAATGCCCCAGTAAAAGTGAAGCGGACACTCTGTGGTCATTAAAAATCCCATGGCACTTCTCATGAAAGAGTAGGGGTGTAACCCCGGTGTCCTGGCTCCTATGATCATGGCTTCCTAATCATCCCCATCCACCAAATTGGCTCTATCAATAGCTGGTGTGTGGTGAGCGCACTGCCGCCGTTGTCCTGTGGCTGCCGTCGCATCATCCAAGTAGATGCTGCACACTGGTGGTGGTATGGAGAGAACACCCCCCACCCCCCTCATGATTGTGAAGCGCTTTGGGTGTTTGGCCATACACAATAAATGCGCTATATAAATACACATTACACTACATTACATGTACCAATGCTGGCTGGCTGATTTTGCTTCTTGGTGGCGTTTTATTTGAGGCACAAAAAATACATTTCTCATCACTGCCACCACAGGACTGATAGCGCATTGCAGCCAAAATTGTTGGTGCAATCCAAAGCCAAATTCAAAGAGGGTTGAAGCTTGTTGACATGAGGCACCAGCCCCTCACACTGAATGATTTATTGGATTTGCTAAATCTTTTTTTTCACTGCCACTGATTATTAATATAAGACCGTTTGATGGATTCATCATTGATATGATATGGGTGTGTGTGTGTTTGTAGACTCGAAGAACACGGCCGTCACTCTGTCTGCTCTGCTGGCCAGTCTGAACAGCTGCTGTAACCCGTGGATCTACATGGTGTTCAGCGGACACCTCCTGCAGGACTTCGCCCTCTGCTTCCCGTGCTGCCAGAAGATCCGGAAAAGTTTCCGCAAAGAGGACTCGGACAGCAGCATCCGCAGAACCACACTGCTGACCCGCATGGCCAACCGCAGCCCCACCTGCAGCTCCAGCACCTGGAGAGAGCTCCAGCACTCGCCCAAGACTGACCGCTCCACGCCGGCCAACACATGACGCTGCGTTCACCAGCTGAAAGCACAGCGATTCACCCTCCTGTCAATGTTTTTAAATATTTCCCGAATGATGTTGAACAGATTCAGGAGTTTTCACAGTGTTTCCTATAATATTTGTTCTTCTGGAGAAAGTCTTATTTGGTTTATTTCGGCTAGAATTAAAGCAGTTTTTAATTGTTTTAAAGCTATTTTAAGCTCAATATTATTAGCCCCTTTACGCAATATTAGTTTTGGATTGTCTCCAGAACAAACCACTGTTATACAATGACTTACCTAATTACCCTAACTTTACCCTAATTACCCTAGTAAAGCCTTTAAATGCCACTTTAAGCTGAACACTAGTGTCCTGAAGAATTTCTAGCCTAATATTATGTGCTGTTATCATGGCAAAAATAAATCCGTTATTAGAAATGAGTTATTAAACTATTGTTTAAAAATGTGTTGAAAAAAAATAGTAAACAGTTATTGGGGAACAAAACATACAGGAGGGCGAATAATTGAGACTTGATCTGTACACCAGGAGGATCACTTCTGCTGATTCAGGCTTCAGTTCTGTGTCAAATGAGGCTCTTACAACTGGAAACTGAGACCGATCAGTCACTTCAGTCACAGTGCAGAGCTGGACAGTAAAGACGGAGAACTGCTTGATAAAATATGCTTGAAGATCATCGTCATTTACGCTATGGAGACATTGGTTCAGAATGTGCTCTCAAAAGGATAATTAAGGCTGCTTTCACACCTGTGAACCGATTCAGTTGTTCCGAAACAGAAATTTCAATTGTTACATTGTTGCTCTTTGCTCTTGGAGCGGTTCGCTTTCACACTGCAAAGTTTCTAATCGGACTAAAAGAGCTAAAACAAGTTACGTGTGAGTAAACTCTCCTCACATTGGTCAGAGTGTCAGGGTTTATTTTGCAGCGTCCCGCTCAGCTGTCAGGAGAGGTGTTGGTTTGGTGGTGATTGACAGGATGTGCGCGCGACGTGTCTGAGGAGAGATGCGGTGGGGAGGGGTGAGTAGGGTGCGCGACGATGGCTATTTGAGGACCGGGAGGGAGACTCAAGATTACCGGGAGATCATCACTCGTTTGCGGGCATATGGAGACTCGCGAAACTTCCCGCCCTACTCATAATTCTCTCTTCATATAGCCGTATGCCTATTACATATCCATAAAACACTGTGATATAACCGCGCTCGGATTGGATCGCTTTCTCACTGCAATCGAACCGCTCCAGGGTTCGTTTAAATCGAGCCAAGACCACCTCATTCAAGCGATCTCGGAGCGATTACTTTGGCGCGGAACAGAGCGCGATTGCCCTGTTCACATATGCCAAATGAACCGCGCTAACTGGGAAAACGAGATACGTTCCGAAACAAAAGTGTAGGTGTGAAAGCACCCTTAGAATGCTCTCAGAAATGATCTTTATTATAGAATGTTCTCTAAAAATGTACATTACATTGAATGCTCCCTCAAAAGAATATTTTAGAATGTTCTCTAAAAACTGCCATTATTTTAGAATGTTCTAGAATGTTGTTTTAGAATGATTTCTAAAATCGAACAATATTTACATTTACATTTAGTCATTTAGCAGACGCTTTTATCCAAAGCGACTTACAAATGAGGACAAGGAAGCAATTTACACAACTAAGAGCAACAATGAATAAGTGCTATAGGCAAGCTTCAGGTCTGTAAAGTCTAAATATATTTAGAATGGGTTCTAAAAATGACCCTTATTTTATAATGTGTTCTAAAAGTAATGTTACTTTATTTTTCGAGAATGTTCTCTAAAATGAATGTTATTTTTAAAGGAAGTGTCTTCAGTTCGACAGGGCTGCATTTATCTGATCAAAAATACAGTCAAAATTTTAAATATCTAAACCCAAGGAGGACAGTCCAAATATCTAAACCTTCTGAAATCAAGAAACATTTTCTAGAAAAGCTAAACACATTGTCTTGTTTTAAGAAATAATATTCTACAATTAAGTGAGTTTGTAATTAAAACAAGCTAAATAATCTGCAGATGGGGTAAACTAAACAATCTATAGGTCAAAATTAAAAACATGATTAGTTTGCTTTTCCCATTGCAGATTATTTTGCTTTATTTTTATTTAAAACTCACTTAATTTTGGCATATTATTTCTGAAAACAAGACCGTAGGTTTAGCTTGTCTAAAACATGCCTCTTGATTTGAGAAGTTTTAGATATTTGGACTAGAAACGTGATAATGAATAAGTTATATGATTAATTAGACATGACAGCATATGTTTTTAGTTCATTGTAAGTTAATAATGTTCTAACTTAATTTTATAAGTTACAGAGTTAAGTTTACTTCTGCAATAAATGCATCTTGATTTAAAGATGTTTTAGATATTTGGACCAGAAGCAAGACTAAATCTAAGTAAGAAAAGCCTTTTTTCCATTGTGGATTAGCATATTTGACCCAATATTGAGTTATGAAGACAAACAAGTATTTCTTTTACAGTATATACACATTAAACCAAAGGCTCTGAAGGTTGTGTTTTTTATATATATATATATATATATATATATATATATATATATATATATATATATATATATATATATATATATATATATGTATGTATATATTTAGATATTTATATAGTGCTTATATCCATCCTGTCATGTTTCACGGCCTCTTAGAGCGTATCGCTCTTATAGACGGACTCATGGAAACAGTGGGAACATGGAAACGGCAGTAAATCTCTTCAGGGACTGCGGCACAATGAGTCCTGCGAGGAATTTCCTGCGATAAGCGTCTACTTAAGCCGTCACTGCGTTTATTTTGGCCCGGACCTCACTATTCTTGCGCCAATGTAAACCAGACACCTGCTGCCCGGGACAAAGCCGAGCGCCGCGTGTGGATTTCACAGCAAAACCGATCACTTTCAAGAACAACCGATGAATGTTGCACTACATAAAACTTACGCTTTGTGAAATATCAACTTGATCGGCATGAGAAGTGTTTGTCTTCTGTCAGGTTTGGAGTTTTTGTATTTTAAAGATGATTTATGTATACAGGCGAAGCCAGAATTATTTCCTCTTTCTTTTTTAAAATATTTCCCATTATATGTTGAACAGATTCAGGAAATTTTCACAGTATTTCCTATAATGTTTTTTTCTTCTGGAGAAAGTCTTATTTGGTTTATTTCGGCAAGAATTAAAGCAGTTTTTAATTGTTTTAAAGCCATTTTAAGGTCAATATTATTAGCCCCCTTAAGCATTATTAGTTTGGATTGTCTCCAGAACAAAACACTGTTATACAATGACTTGCCTAATTACCCTAACTTTACCCTAATTACCCTAGTGAAGCCTTTAAATGTCACTTTAAGCTGAACACTAGTGTCTTGAAGAATATCTAGCCTAATATTATGTGCTGTCATCATGGCAAAGATAAAATAAATCAGTTATGAGACATTAATTATTAAAACTTATGTTCAGAAATGTGCTTAAACTGAATGAAATGAGAAATAATGTAAATAAGCTAATAATCTTGTAAATACTTGTAAAGGTTGTAAATAAGCGCACAGGGATGTCTTTATAAAGTGCGATGTATTTGTTTGTGCGAATGTTGAAACGCTGGAGATTGTTGTGCCAGCTTTGCCTGTGTCTCTGTGCCAAATCCAATAAATCAGAGCTTCGGGAAATATTAGTTCTGGATCTGTGTGGGACGAGTGTGTTTTTAGCAACAGAGCTGTTTCGAGCGCTCTTCATCACTCCTTGGCATGCAAAAGCAACTTAATACACAAGTTCAGCTTGTTTTTATGCGCCTATTAAAGGTTTTTTTTTAATAATATGAAGGGAAACTGTAGAAGCAGCATGACTGAAGTGATTTGGGGAAGCAGATAAACGGCGGCCTGAATGACAGATTGTGTTCAGTTTGATGGGAGATCGAGTGTACTGGATTAAAAACAACCACAAACAAGAACCCAAACCAGGACCGCACTGTTAAAATATCTGTAAATCTACTTTTTATTTATGCTTTTGAATTGCTTTTAAGAAAGTTTGATCTGCCATGCAGCAACTTTTAATGCTGAAAAGCTTTAAAACAGTGACCTTCATGAACATTTGCAATAGTTTGCAGTGCCGTATTGTCTGTGTTGATGTTGTACATTACGCTAAACAGCTTGTATTAAACTGCCAGTATATTTTCTGTTATTTTACACACTTATTACATCATCTCTTACACATTAGATTATCTCAAACTATTAAAATGTCAATATATTTACATTTACATTAAGTCATTTAGCATCCAAAGCGACTTACAAATGAGGACAAGGAAGCAATTTACACAACTATAAGAGCAACAATCAAGTGCTGTAGGCGAGTTTCAGGTGTGTAAAGTGTAAGAAGCAAAACATTAGTCTTTTATTTTTTGTAGTACAGTTAGTGGTGTAGCCGGAGAGGCAATTGCAGATTAGGAAGTGTAGTGGAGACTAAATAGTTGAGTTTTTAGTCGTTTCTTGAAAGTAGCGCGTGACTCTGCTGTTCTGATGCAGTTAGGGAGTTCATTCCACCAACTGGGCAGATTGAACGCGAGAGTTCAAGAAAGTGATTTCTTCCCTCTTTGGGATGGAACCACGAGGCGACGTTCATTCACAGAACGCAAGTTTCTGGAGGGCACATACATCTGCAGAAGTGAGAGCATATAAGAAGGAGCAAAGCCAGAAGTCACTTTGTAGGCAAACATCAGAGCTTTGAATTTGATGCGAGCAGCAACTGGCAGCCAGTGCAAACGGATAAGCAGCGGAGGGACATGTGCTCTTTTAGCTTCATTAAAGACCACTCGTGCTGCTGCGTTTTGAAGCAGCTGAAGAGGTTTGATAGAGTTAGCTGAAAGCCCGGCTAGTAGAGATAAAAGTCACTGTTGAACTGTACACTACCTGACAAAAGTTTTGTTGTTGATCCCAGTTGTGAGAGCAACAAACAATTACTTCTAGTGGATTTTTTTTCCTGATGAATCATCACAAACACTGCAGAAGACCTACTGG